TATTTGGCTTATATCGTGATAGATATCGTTATCGCCTGAAATGGAAAAAAAACATATCGTGATATGAAAAAATCTCATATCGCCCAGCTCTACGTGAAAATGAATTCCATTGATTTAGGAGCAGAATTAATGTATTAATGGCTACATCCTCCTATTTACAGGCAGGAATGGCCTTGTATAAAATTGTCCCGAAGAATCCCTATTACTTTTGGTCGGTCATGAGTCTTGTGATGCAGGTACAAGAAAGCTTTTATAACATGAATGCTGAAATATTAGAATGATTGGTAACAGACAGTAAAAGTACTGTGTGCTTGTTTCTAAGGCAATCTCAGCCCAAGATGAAAAGTTGGCTCAGACCATGTTCCTGCCTCTGGCTGAACGCATGGTGGAAAAAATGGTCAAGGAGGAAAAGATTGAAGCAGAAGCAGAGGTGAGTATGTTGGCTTTATGACTTCAGTGTTATGACAATGGAAACCAACTTAAATGGACAGCAGGATTCTGGCAAAATCCCAATTACTCAACTTTTATTTTTAAAATTCAGAATTTCCTTTGGATTTTCATTAACAGCTTAGTGAATGAAACCCATGGCACATTAATTGCCAGAAAAAAAACCCTGATTTCTGCACTTTAGTGTTAACTGCATACATGTTTAAGATGAAAATACAAATGTTAGAATATTGCACAGTCCTTACTTTTTCACTTTAACTTTTGTGTTCTGTAGGTGCAACTGTATTTTATGATCCTAGAGCGCTTGGGGAAATGTGTAGAGGCCCTTGAAGTGATCCGGGGCCCACTTGGGGGTAGGTAGATCCCCACACACACTCACAAACACACACACTTTCTCAAATTGACCATGTGACATTAACACTTTGAAATAGTATCAGTCATGTTTGGCAGGAAGAAGAAAAAGTTATTTATATTTAAAGTAAGCTGTAGTGAGAACATAAAGTGTTCAACAGCATTCTCAATAAAATAACAGGGATAGTTTGAAGTAATGTGGCACACATGGCTTATAAATCTGATGCTGTGCATCCTGAAATTCCTCTTCAGCTAATACTTGTATTTTTGCACAGAGAAGCTGACCAGTGAGCTGCAGAGCAGAGAAAACAAATGTATGATGCTGTACAAGCGACTGCAACGCTGGCCAGAGTGCAACGCTTTGGCCCACAAACTGCTACTTAAAAAGTGAGTGAGTTTTATCTTAACAGTGCACAAGCTGTCCAAGACCAATAACTGATCAGAACATGGCATCAGTCGATGCACATCACTTCTGATGGAGTACAGATATCAGCCAACAACAACCAAAAAAATGTGTTTCTTTGCAGTCCTGATGATTGGCAGTTCTACCCGGCTTACTTTGACTCTCTCTTTCACTTGGTGGATCAGTCGTGGAGCCCGCCAGAAGAAGGCGAACAGTGAGTACGCAGGTGTTTGAGTTTGAATGCATAAAGATTTCCATCCGTGTGAACTCTGCATCTGTTCCCTTACTTTAACAAAACCCACACGTGATGGTTAAATAAGGTTGGGCAATTCGGTTTTCCAACCAAAAATCGTCAGTCCAATAACCAACGATTATTGGACGGAATATATTTGCGCATGCGCTGACTTTTTGATGGGAGGAGCAGTATAACCATGTACGGACTGATTTGCGCGTTTAGAATTTGTAAGTCTGGTTTGGAAGGAATATTTCTTTTTAATATTTAATAATTAATAATTGACTTTCTTTTCTTGTTTGTTTCAGTATTAATATAGCTACTTTTTGGATTGTTCATTTATATATTTGAGATGCGCCAAATCGCACAAAAGACTTAACATTACGTTGGAAGTTGTTTTTTGGGGTTTTTTATGTTATGAAAGAGACATTTTGATTTTTAACTTTTTAATTTTTGTTGTTTGATCGAGTGTGTAAGACAGATAAACTCTGGAACAGCCTGTAAACACTGTTATCGTGGAAAAAAGAAGCCAGTTTCTCTTTGTTTCCCTCCCCACCATTGTGGTTTTTTTATTTAAATAAAATATTTTTGTGTTTTTCTGAACATAGGCTACTGCCTTTCTTTCTTTCTGTTGTGAGTAAATGAATCGCTGCATTTGAGCGCACTCTGAGGAGGGTGCATCTGTTCGCAGCTGCTTCTCTTAGCTTCAACCAACATTATCAGCAAACTTACCCATGTGCAAATAAATAAATCACTCTTGTAAAAACGATCAACGGAAAGCTGAGTCTATCGTCGATATATTCGTCCAATCGCCCAACCTTGTGGTTAAAAGTCCCTTCACTAAGGCATTCCTCCTATTTAACCTTAAAAATCCCTACTAGTTGCTGAAAGCCATGTGTTAATTATTAAATGAATTATTAATTTAAAAAATACACACATCCTTCAGCAAGACAAACAAGATGTGGAACACCTTGTGTCTATGACCGTCTGCTGTGCTGTTCTCCAAACTTTATAGAGGATATTTTTTTTCCAAATTAGACATTATATAATATTATATATGTCCAATTTATCTCTTATTTCTTCATAATATTATATCTTGTCCACGCTGAAGTTTTTTTTTTTTTTTTCTGTCCATCCTGTAGCTGTTCAGAGGGTTCAGTACATCACACTGTGGTTGAGGTGGTGAGGTTTGTGGAGGAGAGGATTAAGGGGGAGGACAACAAAGAGTCCCGCTCACTCAGAGGGCCTTACTTGGCTCGTCTTGAATTAATGCACAGACTGAGAGAAAGAGGCTGTCCTGAGGAAAGCCTGCTAGGTAAAACACATACACACACACACACATATACTGAATAAGCATGTATTTATGTATGTCCTGTTGCCTCAGTCTGACAGTCTGTTGGTTGGCCATAAATAGGTGAGCCTTTAGAGTTAATGGTGCAATTCTTCAACAAGTTTGGAGACAAGCCCTGCTGCATCACTGACCTAAAAATATACCTACACCTGCTGTCTCCTGAGCAGCATGTTCAGGTGAGAGAAAGTTAAAGCAGAACTGTGGAACTGCCTCTTGCAGAATGAAAAGCATGGTCGTGAAACACATTTCTGTCTTTGAATTCTTTTTAGTTCATTAATCATCTTAGTGAAGCAGTTCCACTGGGCAACCAGGAAGAGGAAGGATTTGCTTTTCCAGAGGACACCAAGGCGCTGCAGAGGCATTTGTGTGTTTGTCAGCTGAGCCGTGCACTAGGGCTGCATCATTCCCTTGACGTGGATGGCAAACTTCATCTTATCACAGAGCTTAAGGCTCACTATCATCATGGGCTTAAGTTTGGTGAGAGCAACATTTTTATTCACTCTTAGACCCATAAGATTGACATTCATTCAGGATCATCAGATTTTCCACAGCCAAGAGGTGTGAAATCTTGTCGTGGAGCCAGACAGATATGTGATGTTGTCAACAGCAAAGTGTGAATGCCTTCCTTGTTTGCTGGCACATTTCTTCTGATAACAGCAGCATCCAGTTGAACATGCTGATAGTTGATTACTAATAGGGCTTCTTTCTCAGAAATTCCAGGAATAAAAAAGTGCTTTCATACATTTTTGTGTGTTCAATAAAGTTATAAAACTGCAGTTATGCATGACATAGACTGTAAAATAGAAAGACATTGGTAACGTTATGTCATCTATTGGTTTACGGACTTAAAATTTTCAAGTGTCAGATGTTTGTTTTCTTTTGTTTGTTTGGGGTTTTTTTTAAGCTGCTGTCTTGTTTTGTTACTCTACAGCCGTAAAAAGCTGAGGTGGGCGGGCAATGTGGACATTTAAGTTTATGAATGCAGTAACTTGAGAATGAAACGAGCTTCAGGAGTTTCAAATTGATACCACAGGTGCACCTGCTAATTATCTGTATTACTTACTTTACTAAAACAAGACATTTTAAGATGTTGGGGTTTTTTTTTGTTTTGGTTTGGTTTAAGCCAACCCAAAGTGGCTATTAGATGGACTGCAGATGGATGTAGCTTCTGGGTCTGAAGAGCAAAGCAAACATGTATTCTTTCTAATTAGCAAGAGGGAGCTCCTGTGATGTTTGCAATAAGACATCCAAATATATAGACACGTATGCAACAATTGCCTAATGACTTTGTGGTCTCAGTGACCAATATTGAGTACAAACTAAAGGCCATTTTGTAAGTTATGGTCCCAATTTGAATAAAAAGGGACGATACACACAGGGTATGCTTTGCTATGATTGATAAGCTGTTAGCCAATGAGCAGATAGTGTCCCTCAGTTTACGGTTAGCTAATAAGGTGAAGGTAAAAATGCTCAGCTTGAGGTTTCAGATAGGTCTTCACTAACCGGTAGGTGACATCACAGTGGCTTTGCCTGTCTTTCATATACAACGTGTAGCACTTGGGTATTGGCTTCATTTTTTCATTTTCATTTTTACAGACAAGCATACTTTTCTTGGTCATATTTGGCATGTTTTTTAAGATATAAAGGTGACTTTGTTGGACGTTTGCAGTCAACATTCTAAGAATTGTAGGGTAGGGTGACTTTACTGTACAAGAACTGAACACTTTTAAAGATTTTTCTTGTGTTCCTTGTGCATGTTTTTGTTTGTTCTGACTTCTTGGTCTCTCTGGTGAACAGGAAAGAACGCTCTAAAGACGGAGCTGCAGTTTTCTGATATGTATTGTCTCATGGCCGCTCATGTATACATTGACTTATGGACAGAGACCGGTGAGTTTTTCTTTTTCAGTGCAGAACTTCCTGTCTCTCAGTAATGTGATGTGTCTAAATGTGTGTATCTGTATGCCTGTAGGAGATGAGGACATGATGTGGCAGTGTTTGGGTCTCCTCCAGGAGGGACTATCTCACAGTCCTTCCAACGCCCAGTTCAAGCTGCTGTTACTGCTCCTGTACTGTCGACTGGGAGCGTTTGAGCCTGTAGTGGACCTTTACTCAAGCCTGGATGCCAAGCATGTACAGCATGACACCATAGGGTCAGTACAGAACATGTTTCTGTGGTGAAACATGGAAAGAAAGCGGATTTCTCGT